CCCCCACCTCTGGACGCTCCTGCCACCCCCTGCCCAGTGAACCTGCATGCAGATGTCTGGGGTGTGGCCCTGCGAGGGACCTCTCCATCCTTCTGCACTTTGGCACCATTGGTAAATGGTTTGTTCGGCAATTAAAGCATTTCCTATACATAGCTGAGGAAGGTCTCAAATTCGGAGTTTAAAAATGGGGTGAGGTGAGCACCTCTCCCTCCTACAATGGTGGCCCGTCTCACTTGTTCCTTTGGGTAGCAGGGGCCATGGGCCCCTAACCTAAACCCTGGCTTTGTGGGGGAGGCTGCCTCGTTTAAGGCTTAGAGGTACAGGATGCCTCACCAGCTGTACACGTGTCCAACGCAGGAGTATTCAGCGCAGGTCGAAAGGGGATCGGGGTTGGCCCGTTGGCTCTGACTGTGTGTGGGTGGGGGAAGGACCAAGGGCTGAGTGCTGCTCACTCTGCAAGCCTGCGAAATTCAGGGAGCGGCAGAGAGAGCCTGGCATTTGCTCCGAAGCCCACATCTCCCCAGTCGCCAGCCAGCAGAGATGTCGCGTGTTGATTTCACATATTCACTTTTCTTCCTCCCCTCTGAGAATGCTGTACTTGCTTCACTTTTTTTGTTGTTAAAAAAAAAAGAAAAGGGAAAGCAAAGGCTAGCCTGCCTTGTTCACACACTCAGAGATCCCCTCCAGGGCAGCCGGTACCTGCCAGCTCTTCTGGGCATGGCAGGCTGAGAAGGATCGGGGGTTGGCAGGAGAGGTGGTGTCTCACATCAGCTTTTCTGCCTGGTGGTTCCTTCTGCACCCCAGATCTAAGGGGTCGGCGTGGCCACAGCAGCTGGTCTTTTCACATCTGCCTCTCCTCCACCCCGCTGCCAGGCCCAGCTCCCGAGGGCGCCGGTTTTGTCACAGGCCTCTACCGCTTGGGAAGCTGCAGGATGCAGCCCCAGTTTCATGTGTTGTCTAGAGTGGCTGCCTTTGACCCTCACACACATCCTCCCGCTTCAGGCAGGCCTGCGCCCTCACTGCCTGTACCACAGCCAGGCCTTTCTAGAGTACTCGCCCGCTTCAGAGAGCCCTGCTCCCAGGGGCGGCCCAGGGACAGCCCACGGCCTGTCCCATCGTGGCCTGTGTTCTGTGTGTCACTCTGCTCTGGGCTCTCTAGGCACAGTCTCGAGCTGGGGTAGAGGGCTGGTCTCTTCAGCTAGACGGTGAGCCCTGTGAGGCCATGGCCTTGTCCTACTCAGCTGTGTGTCTTCTGTGGGTCCTTGCCGAGTGTCCTGCCTGTCTTGGACAATCCATCACGAACGGGTGGTTTGTTTGTGGTGGGAGAGGGAGGAGGAGGGAGGAGTGTTCTGCTTAAACCTGCTTTCCTGAGGCTCCTCTGCCACCTTTGTGCTGAGACAGGACTAGATCACACCACATTCTCCCCACGCCCCTTCCTCCTCCCAGCCAGTTATCCGAGTAAGATAACTCGGCCATCTCTGAGGCGACTGACCTTTGCTGATTAGCACACAGAGGCACCACCCTGGACCACATCCTTCCCTTCTGCCCCTTACTCAGGGTCCTTTTATATAACGACCTCTCATCAGGACATGCTATTTCAGGTTCCCTGTTGGGCTTTGAGATTCGGTTAGACTGGAAGATTCCCAAGGGCAGGAACTATGTTTAGAGTCCAAGAGAGTACAGAACGTGGGCTTTGAAACCACGCAGTTTCCTTTTCTGTAAATGGGACAATAACCTCTACGTGTCCCTCGTAGGGTTGTTGTGAGGATGAAATGAGTTGCTGCTGGTGAATCTTGGTCCCCGGGACGTGTAAGGGCTTACGCGTTGGAGCTGCTCGTCTTACTCTGATGGTGACTAGGCTGCGCGCCCTGATGGGACTTGCCTGCAACTTGGTTAATGGACTGACGGGTGGGACTTCAGTGCCCTTTGACCAGTGTGACCCGGAGGGAGCGGCAGTGTTACACTGGACAGCTCTTTGCTCTCACCTGCCCATTGTCTGCCCCTCCCACCCGCAAGCCCTCAAACTTCTGAGGACGTGGTTAGGGGCACAGACGCATTTGTCATCAGGAATGAAGGCGGGATGATCCGGGGACAATGGGGAGACTGTTCTGATTGGACAAGGTGCGAGTTGGGGAGAGGAGAGAGATGAAAAAAGGTTAGAAGGTAGAGGAGGCCAGTCCGGAAGGGCCCTCAGTGACACCCCGGTCCCCACCTGAGACGAGTAGTAACAGCACCTCTGGTTTGTTCAGTCTTGTGTCCTCAGACTGTCCTGGGCTCACTTCGTGCTCACAACACTTTCGGGGCGGGGGGCGCTCTCGTGCCGCCATGTTGATGAGGAGCAGCAGGCGCTCAGACAGGCACGCTCCCTTGCTCTCGTCACACAGCTCAAAGGGAAAAACAGGCCCGACTCCCAGGCGCCTGGTACAGCATCTCTCCCTGCGTCGGAGAAGTAACGCTGTGAGAACGCGGAGGCTGCTGTGGGCCCTCAGGAGCCACCAGGCGAGGCTGCAGAGGACGAAGGCATTAGCCGTGCTGGTCACACGGCCCTGGTGTTCCGTGAGGAACCAGCTGGACATCTGCCCCTTCCTCTGTGGATAGCGTCCACGGGACCCTACTGGCTGCGATACGCACTAGGTTTTATTGTCGGGCTCCCATCTGAGTTGGGAGGGGGCTCAGAATAGTGAAACCACTGCAGGTTCCTTTACAGAAGCCGCGCTCAGAGTCTGAGAGCTGTCACCTGTAGGATGCAGGCCTGCTGGGGAGCTGGCGAGGGTGGAGACCTGCCAGCACAGGGTCACCGCAGCGGCTCTGTGATGCGGGTCTTGAAGTCCCTCTGGTTGGAGTTAATGTCCCCCTTCCCCTGCAGCCATGCCAGTTGTGGTAGCTCCGCCTTGCTCGTCCCCATGGCCTTGGTGATTAATGTCCTCTTGTCTTGCTGACTAGATTATGGGTGCCTGAAGGCCCGGGAGCCCCACATCTCATATCTGTTTCCTCAAGGGCCACGCCGCGTGCTCAGCACACAGCACACAGCGCTGGGTGTGGAATACGTGCCTGGTGAGAGGCAGGAAGGCCTTTATACACCCACAGCCCCACTAGGACAGGAATTCTATCCGGCCATCCCTCCCCAGCGCCTCCCAGAGGCTAAGCCCACGTTAGGTGCTGGGGTTACAGAGCCTGGTGAAACTTGCCTCCTGCCTTCCTTCAACACTCTCTTGCTGAGCGACAGGGAGGGAAGCAGAAAAGAGAGATGGGCTCCCTGCCCCGCAAGTCTTCCAGCCCTCCTCATTTGCTCCGGGTCGGCCATGCGGACCTCTGCACGAGCCTAAGGGAGGCTGCCCAATTGCAGTGTTTCACGGTAGGATGAAGGGCTGCTTCTGGCTGTTCCCAAGCCCCTAGCAAGAGCATTCCTCCTGCTGTTTCTCAGACCGGCCCCTTGCACGCACTCCTCACGGAAGAGGACCCAGCCAAGAGCACTCCCACAGCACTTTTGGCATAGGCAGGATGTGGAGGGTCAAGGCAAGACCCCACTTCGGCCACCTGCCCCTGTCAGCCAGACCAGGGTCCCAGCCAGCGCGGCGTCCCACCCGGGAACGCGGGGGCAGGGGTTCGCGCAGCTGCAGGAGCCTCGCGGAGCCGCGTGCGCGCGCGCGCGTGCGTGTGCGCGGGCAGGGTGGCGCGCGCCCCGCCGAGGCCCCAGCGCTTTCCCACACCTGGCGCCTCCCTGCGGTCCCTTCCCCCGCGCGCCATAGCCAGGCCCACGTGCGCAAAGGCGTGGGGGGCGTGTAGGGAGGTATGGTCGGGAGACAGCGTGCCCCGGGCTGGACAGGCCCCCGTGTGCTTAGGGGGCGGCGGCCAGCTCGACAGTGGCCGCTCTCCTGTGCCCCTCCAGCCTTCTCCCCAGACCTTTCCTCTGGCTTCTTGGGTCGTTGGTACCTCCAGCCATCCCTCTCCTCTCGCCGCCCTCTTTCTCCGGTAAAGAGACCAGCGCTTTCCGATGAAGCTTCTGGTTCACCCCCAGCCACAGAGCCCTTGACATTTAGCGAGGGTTCGCGGCGCACTGGTGTAGGCACACAGCAGAACGCTAATCCTATTAAAGATATGGTGTCATTGGGGAGGGGGAGGCTCCCCAGCGGGGCCGGCAGGCCTCGCGCCCATTGGTGGAAGGCGCGGCAGGGGCGGGGCCGAGGGCCGGGGGAGGGGGCTCCAGGCGATTTGGGAGTCGCGAGTCGCGGCCGGGATTGCACAGGCAAAGCCCAGCGGTTGCAGCTGCGGCGGATCCTCGGCACCGCCGCCGGGGCAGCCCAGGGCCGCTGCAGCTCCGCCAAGTCGCAGGGGAGGAGGCGGAGCGCCGGCAAAGTGGTCGGCCGCGCTGGGCCGGCTCCGAGAGGTGTGCCCTGGGAGCCCGGTCCGGCGCCCTTCTGCTTCGCGCGGAGCGGCCGGTGCGGCCGGGAGGCGAGCTGCGCCCTGGAAGGGGAAGTCAGACAGCAGCCTCCCCGCAGACGCTAAGTTGCGCGAGCGACCCGGTGCCCGGACAGCGACAGCGGCCCGGCGCGCAGAGCCTCCGGGCCAGCCGGCCAGCCCCGGGCGCAGTCGGGAGGCGGCGGCCGCGGAGCGCGGGTTCGGCCGCCGGTGCGCCGGGGACAGGGGCGTGCGAGGCGCCGCCGGCCCGCCTGCAGCCCGCGCCCCCGCCCCACTCCGGGAGCGATGCCCCCCGCCCCTCGCGCCCCCCGGGAACGACGCGAGCATGGAGAAGTCGAGTAGCGAGGATTCTTCGATCCACCGGAGTCCATCTTTGGACAGCAAGGACTCGGACTTTGCCAAGCCGTCCACCTCGGGCCGCCCGTTCGGCCGCGGCTTCACGGCCGGCGCCTTCTACGGCACCGCGGGCTCCCGGGGCCAGAGCCGCGCCGAGGCGGGCGTTAAGACCGACAAGTACAATGCACCCAAAGGCAGCAAGTACGTGGTGTTTTACCTGGACCTGTCCTTTGTGTTCCTCCTAGAATTTAAGAAGTGCAACATGGCCAGGGGCTGCCTCTGCTGCTTGAAGTACATGATGTTCCTCTTCAATTTGATATTCTGGGTAAGTCCTTCCGTTTATCTCTTCCTTTGCCCTCCTCTCCTCTTTGCTTGCCACAGCGTGAATACCGTGCGCCTCTTCGGTGCTGCATTGCTCCGCTCTCTGCACAACGGTAAGTGTGCTTTTTTTTTTATTGCCTCCCCCCGCCCCTCTTTCATGCATTTTTGTCTTCCTTCCTCCCTCTCCTTGGTGGCTGAATGGGGGCTCCAACTTGCCTGTCTTCCAGGAGCCTTGCTCTACTCCTAGGAGGCTGACAAAGTTTGCCACCACCTCCTTCCTCTATGAGAAAATCCATGCTGAGAATGCCTCCGATGGGCAGCCTGCAGCAATGGGTGTGGGGTCAGAATTTTTAACAGCTGTGGCCCTGAGTTGGCGATAGGCACAAGTGCGGATGGTTTTCTGAGTTTCTTCTTATAATCCTCCTGAATGCACAAGAACACAATCTGCAGCATTTTATGGGAGTGGGCTGGAGCTGAGGGGATGGGTTGTAGAGGCCACATCTTCCCACTCCTTTCTGTGAATCCCAGGAAAAGGAGGAGCAGCCCCTGTCCCCACTTGCTAGCCCTCAGACATGCCCCCGCATGAGGGCTTGTGCGGGAAAGGAGGGGTGTGGGGGATGCTGCCATCGGGCGTCTGGCTGCTGCTTTTGAGGGATTGCAGCGGACCGGACAGGGAGCCGGCCATGTGCTTCCAGGGAGCCCCAGTGACTGGAAGGGACAAAGGGAGACAATCAGGTGCCCCTATCCTTGGTAAACGATTATTTCGTGGAGAAGGTATCAGCCGGTAGGGCAGCTTGGAATTGCTGTCTGTCCTGTGTGTGATTCTGGAGGTTGTGTGTGCGCATGCACGTCCGTGTGCATGAGAAATACTAGTTAGGCAAATTGGAAAACTTCTTAAATTCATTTATGATTGTTCCTTCATCCTAACTGCCGCCTCTGTCTTTCTTCACCCGAGCAGGGACATAGCACAGATGTTTGGCTCTGCCCCAGGGTCTGTCCTGCCCGCGGGAGGCCATCAGCTGCCTGTGGTCCGGGAGGAGCACTGAGGACAGGACAAAGTCATTCAGAGTGAAGTTGGGTAGAGGCAGTTGGTCCTTGGTGTTCAACTTTTTTGTGGAGTACCCACTTCAGCTGAAAAACTTTTTGGGGGTGTGCGTGTGGAGGGGGCAACTTTTCCCGCAGAAGGGCAAGCTCAGGGCCGAGAGGGAAGGAGACTGGGTTCCAGTCTTGGTTCTGCATTAGCGCCTGTGTGACCTTGGGCAAAGTACTTTATCCTTTCAGGACTGGGCTTCCTTTCCAGTCCGACGGGTGTGTGTGTGTGTGTGTGTGTGTGTGAGAGAGAGATGGTCTCCCTCACTGTTCTCACTTCATTAGTGTGCGACATCCCGAGTGCGAGTGGGGTGGTAGGCACTGAGTGCATCTCATCTTCTCTCTAGGGAGGGAAGCCCCTTCCCCACCTGGGACTCTGCTTCTTTTCCAAGGAGACTGATCTGAGATTAATCTCCATGGGCTGGGGTCATCCGGGATGTTACCTGTCATGTGGTTAGGGTTTTGTGGAAGTTGGGGCAGATATTCTCATGCCTTTTTCTGGTGGTGAGCACCACGGGAATGTCAGGAATGACTGTGTAGCTGCCGTGTGGACACGTGCCTCCTGGTTCTTTGACTCATTTGCCAGCATCTGTGTGAGCCGCGTACTGGTGTGTCTTTCTTGGGTGCCTTTGGATTCACACGAGTGCTCCTTCTCTGTCCTTTTTCATAGTCGCCAGCTGCCTTTCTGTTTTGCCCCACCTTGCATGTATTAACCGCACTGGGAAGACCCTCTGGGGAAGTCAGTGCCTTTGGCGAGTGAGCCGCCGTCCGCGGGCTCGCTCCTCCCCGCCCCCACCCCGCCACCTGCTGGCGGGAGTTGGTATAACTGCTCGGGGTGCCTTTCTCCTCCAGGATGGGCCCAGCGCGGTTTGCTGCCTCCTCACAGGCCGGCATAGTGGTCTGTGTCCTGCACACAGTAGACGCTCATTATATGTTTGTGAGTGAATGAATGGAGGTCCAGAGCTGTAAATCACAAGATGTTACCACGTGGAAGGGGTTCCCAAGTTCCGCTTGATGGGGAAGAGAAGTTAGACGTCACACTTGCCTCTGATAACGGCTCTCCTAGCACCCTAGCTGTGGGGGGGACAAGTGACTCTTTCCATCTTCCCTTAAAAGCTTGGCAGAGGTTAATGAGCTAGTTGATGAAATGTCCTTCCTTTATGGCCTACAGCGAGGGAACTTGCTGTCTTTTCCTAGTTGGAAGGTGCCAGCTACTTAACAGGCAAGGAGTTGCTCTCTCCTAGTCTCTGACTTTTCCGGTTACCGAATGTTTGCAGAATTCCCATGGCATGCTATGAGCTGGGAGAAATTGAGTCTTAAAGACCCAGTTCTTTTATGTTAGTAGCGTATGAGATGATGAGATAAGACATAGACCTTGGGGAAGGTGGCCAATTCAGCAGGAGAGGAACAGGTGCTTGTGTGTGTAAGGTGTTCGCCACTGTGTTTTTGGGAGGAGGGGGAGCAGGTGTTGCAGGGTGTTAGCCAGGATTTGGGGGTCGTGGGTCACTGTGCTCCACCCAGATGAAGACCACCTGCAAGCAGGTGCTTGACCTGATATGGGGGAGGGAGCAGGGGAAAGAGCCAAAGGAGAAGAGAAAACCTCCAAGGTGGGTGGGGTGTCGACGGGGGGCGGGGGAGCCCCTGGGAGGCCTCTGCTTCTGCCCCGTGCAGGGGGGTATGCAGTGCTGATCACGCCCAGCCCTCTGGGACTGGGAGCAGTCGTTAGGAATTATGTAGCCATCAGTTATGCTGGTCTTATGGTTCTGATCCCAAAAGGAGGCTTTTCTGAAACATTAGAATTGGACTTGAGCCTGCAGTCAATAGATAGAGCTCTTCCCATAGATCCCCGAGCCTATCCGGTAGTCCTCCAAACCCACTGCTGCCGCCACACCCCCTGCCTCCTCTGAGCCCGTTGGAGGATTCCAGTGCGGAGGAGAGGTGCAGCTGTCCTACGCTGCAGCCCTTCACAGGCGTGCGAGTGCCTGGTTCCTGGCCACTGGGTGGAGCTTCTAGGGTGCCGGTATTGGTGAGAGCCCGGGTGACGTCACCAGGGGCCGGATGGGAGGCAGAGCCCTCGCCAGCTCTCCTCCTCCTTACTAAGGAAAGGGCAGGTGCCTTACAGGCTGCTGCATGCCTACCTGCTGCTGGGGGCCCAGGTCTGCTCCTGGCACTGCACACAACTTCAACCAGACAGTGCTGGCCGTGTTGGCACCCCAGTGCACTGTGGGAGTTTGGAGCCCCCAGGAGGGCAACATTTCTGGGGGCTGTAGATGGCGAGAGTAGAGAAGGAGGAGTCAGTGGTCACTCCTGACCGAGTCCCACCTCCTCTTTGCCCCTGGCATCCCCATCCCCCATCCTGATTCTCAGGGCCAAAGAGAACTCTGGCTTCTCAGGGGACAGGGAATAGGAGACCTGAATAGGGACAGAAGTTTCCCCTCACTAAGGTCCTGTCCACCCATAAGCACACCCACCCCAGGGCATTTCTCCGAGCAGTGGAACCATCTGGGGCATTTCCCTCAGTCAGCCCCATCTCTGGGTCCTCCCAGGGCAGTCTGGTAGAATACTCTAGGTAGAGTACTTAGGGAATCTAAGCCCCTTCAACAAGGCACAGGAGGCTCGGGCTTTAAACTCTAGTAGAGGAGAGAGAGCATATCGGGGTGGGCTGGAAGGGGGACCTCTGAGTGCTGGGGGGTGTGTCCCCTTCTTGGGACAGCGAGTCGTGATCCCAGCCCGGCTCTTCCCTACCCAAATCAAGTTGCTGTCTGCTGTGGAGGGGCGAGGGGGGGCTAGGGCTGCTGGCATAACTGCCACTCAGGATAATGGTCACTTTTCATGCTTGCCAGCAGAGCTGTCCCATCAGTTTAAATCATGGCTGGCAGAGCAGTGACATTCTGGCCCATAGGAAAGCCCATTCCTTGTGGATGGCTTCCTTAATGAAGGCTAATTAGCAGAAGGGACAGTGTCAGCGAGCTTGCTGGGGCAGGGGAAAGGTGTGGATGGCGCCGGGCAGGGTGCGGACGGGGCTCTGATTGAGCTCCCTTAAGTGGGGTCAGGCCCCTGCCACACTGCTCCCTGCCTCTGGGTGCAGGCGGCGTGGTCAGGGCTCTCCAGCTGCCAGTGGCACATGTTCGGGACTGGCTTGGCCACATCCCGAGTGTCCCTGCGGGCTCCAGACTGGGGTCTGTGCACGGTCAGTGTTGGATGGCCTGGAGTGTCATCAGGAGTCTGTGGGGTGCCTTCTGTCTGGAAAATGCATGAGTGGGCTCGAGGGGCCCAGCAGGGAGCTTGGCTTCTGGCCTGGCTTCTCCAGCAGAGGAGATTCAGGCCGACCCGGGCAGCAAGAGGCATTTAGGGCCTTCCCAGAGTGCTCAGGGGCGAGGGATTCCGGCTGTCTCCCCAGGGCGGCTGCGTCAAGTAGATCTTGAGGCTGGGTCAGACATGGCTCCGTGTGGGGGCACAGGGACAGATGAAGGGCCTGGCAGATACCCGGAGACCCCTGGAACATGGCCATGAGGGAATGCCAGGTCTGTGTTCACTTCCTTTCCACAGCATTAAAAATTAAACTTCCTTGTCTTAATATCTATTTTTAAATCATGTCGGAGCTAGCGCTGGTGTCAGTCAGGAGGGGGTGGGGAGGAGGAGGGTAGAGGAGAGAAAGTCCCAGCTGAAACAGCGCGCAGCTCTCGCTAGCGCGAGCAAAGGGCCGCTGGGCCCCCATATTGGCCCTCCCTGGACCTTGGCCTCCCCTGCTTCTACCCCTGTGTGCTTGGCTGCCCTTGGCTGAACTTGGTGGCAGGCTCTGTGGCCCTAGGTCTTCTGCGGCTTACCAGGCTGCTGGGTCCCCAGTCGAGTCCATTCACTCACGCCGCAACTATTTACTGAATGCCCGCTCCGCGCACTCGGGCCTCCAGTTGG